AACAAACAAAACTTTAGTAACATCATAATCGCATTAGGTGAATTAGGTCAAACATTTTGCCAAAGGTCCCACTGTTAAATTCATGGCAGAGAAGTCACGGCACAGTACTGGAAGCTGACTGTCTCTAACAAGTTTCAGCACTTTATTACTGAGCTATTGAAAACTGAATTCATTTTACAAAGAGTACAAAGAAATACTTGTAGACCACTCCTGCATTAATAAAGGTGCACGTGTGACTATTTAAAATAACAGTACTCATCATTTTTAGGCAAGCCAATTATTTCACTTAAAACATTTTCATCATATCATTCAGTCAAAAAGTCTATGCCATCATCTTTAACATGATTATTATAAATAAAGCAAGTCAACACTAAAGATTTCCAATAGGCACATCACAATAAAAATATAAAATATCAGTAAGAATAAAAACAGGAAGCAGAGGGAATGGAAGAAAAACATTAAATCATGGCATCAAATGTTAATGTTTATGTTAGTTTTGATAAAGATTAAAAAGAGAAGAAAAGTCTTAACAAAGACTCATTATACTTTGCAATTAGCCTATTTATGATTCAAAGAAGTTCTGCAGAAATGTAATTTGTTTCTGACATATTATCCTCAAATGTCAAAATCTCATATGCATTAGACCTTCATTAAAAGTGTTTTCTTCACTACTTTTAATCAATATTTTATTTCACCTTTGAACACCTGCTCATTTACCTCTGCATTCTTCATTGCTTTAAGAATATTTCCCACAGTAGTCACAAAGCTGTTGCCCAAAATTCTTCCCAGCTTTTTGTATAAATAGCCCAAACAAACCACTGCAGCACTTTCAGAACAGAAAAGGAAAAAAATGTAGTCAGGCAACCTTTAAAAAACATTATTAATATTATTCTATACTGCATTTTATTATAAACCAATGAGATTCTTAATAATCAACAGCTATTAATAAAAAGCTTTTAAATATTAAATTATTTAGGAAAATTTCCTTAAAGTTAGGTTGCCATCTCCAGCAGTATGTTGACTGGTAATTCTGCACAACAAAATTGAAAGACAACCAGTTATACAAGGTAGGTTTAAGATATACATTTCAGAATCACTTTAAAAAAATACTAAACTGATTCACAACCTGGCACAAAGAAACATTATGGATTTGCCTTCGCAATTGAATGTATTACTTACAAGTAGTCCTCAACTTACAACCATAATTGAGCCTGGTAATTATGCTTGTCAGCTGTGACGGTCATAAAGCATAAATGTGACCCACCCATTTTAACAATTTTTTTATAGTTGCTAAGCCAACACCATAGCTGCTAAGTGAACCCATTCTTTGTTATGGGTGGTTTTTGCCAGAAACCAGAAGTAAATGTTAGTTTTTGACAAAAATATTGTAAATTGTGGTCAAATGACTGCAGGATGCTGTACTGTAAGCCAAGTATTCCTCTAAGAGGACTATACAGTTTGCATAGAAGTGTAATTTATTAGACAGCATTCCACCAAATTCCAACAGCTCAGTTACGGACTGAAAAGTCAGCCTTTGCTAGTAGAAGCATATCCGTAAAGTCCTTGACAGCCTCAAAAATTAAAAAAAAGCACAAGTGCAAATCCCAATGACAAAAAAGTTGCCTATGCCAGAGTGTACATATAGAAAAGCATAGTATACTTTAAGGAGGCAAGAGTTTGTGATAACTTTGCCATTGGCGGTTTTTTTTTTTTTTTAAAATCTAGCCTTTTTCCAAATTTTCTTACTCAAAGTATAACTGGCACTACCCTCTACCTGATGAACTGTGATAAGTGTTTGATAGAGATTCCTTTATTTTGTTTATTTGTATCTGCTTTTCTGTCATTTTCTGAGATTGATTAAAAATCAACATGTTATTCTGCACTTCTAAGGAATTCCTACAGAGTATCTTTCCTTTTATATGGAGGAGGAATAATAGCATTCTCCTAACTATCAGACAGAAATACAGTAGTTCCATTCTCTGATATTCAACATTCCCATGCAAATGTCTCTAATATGGTTTCTAGCATGCATAAATAAATAAATGAATGAATGAATAAATATTCCATTTCAGTTACATTCCAAAGTATTTCATCTTTTTATTTACAGTTCTATTGACACTGTTAGTGGCTCCTTGCTTAGTTCTTTTTACCCATCTTCAGGCAGTATTTATTTTCATCAAAATCACTTATTTGTAATGAAACTCACATCCATGTACTCATCAACTCATCTCTCCAAGATCAGACATTACATTTCTGTTTGTCTTTTTCTTTCATTCATTAATTCATGCTCACTACCATTTACACCATTTACATTCAAAGTCATATGCCATGGTCATAACCAGATGACTCTATAACTTCCATTCCCTATAATGCCTTTGGCCAATTTAACCTTCATATGACAGTTTTTTTAGTAATATAGAGGAACCAATCAGGCTATCACTCTTAATAATACTCACATAATTCAATGATGCTTTGTCATATTTTGAACAGTATGCCACAAGCTCAAGCAAAACTCAAATTTTCCCAAGTATGTTCATATCTTATTGAAGCTACAATTTCTAATCTAGACATATCTTGCATTACTATTATTGTCCACATGTCCACAACTGAGAGCTGCATACTGTGAACAGATGCACTTAAGATGAAGATGAAACAGAAGCAATCAATATGTCTTAATCTATTATCCTCTCAGCCTATCTGAATCGTTTCTTCAATTTGAAGCGAGTCCAAGTTCTAAGTAGGAGCCACCCAATGTAACTAGACTTTAAAATAACTGATATAAGGGAGCAATTATTTTCTTTACTATAGATTTATACAAGATAAATTCAATGTGCATATGTTAAAAGAAAGCATTTGCAAAAATGTTTACTGTATATTAAGATAAGTTTCATATAATGAAAAGTATGAACTGTTGTGTACAACAAATTTTATGCCCTTTTTAAAGAATGAAATTGTGTTTCAAACATATAAACTTTATTAAAATTAAAGCATTTCTTCCATCTGTATCCAGAAAAGGAACACCCATAATTGAAGAATCAATGATGTTATATCCTGGAACTTGAGCTTACTTGAGGTTAAATGTTTTTCAACTGTTAAAGCCTATTTTTAGGTCATGTATACTTCCTATTCCTTTGAAAAATCTTATGCAATCCTCATAAACTCTAGCTATAACTTAATCTCAAGAATACTGTAGGCCAATGTAAAGGCTATATTTTTATGCTAGGGGCTTCTTTCTGCTAGCAGCTCACTTGAGAAAGGATGAAGCATTATTGGTGCCAGATTAGAGATTGGAGCTGTTTATTTGATTGTAATTCTTGAGTGCCTGTGTTTAAATACCCGTCTGGTTATCCACTACAATATATAAATGCCAATCCAAGATTTCTAGGCATTCCTCCAATTGCTGTGTTTTCATCACAGTCTCTTTTTCTACACTAAATTGTTTTGATTATTCTGTTCCCATCATCCAACTATAGACTCATTCCTGGACAAGAATACAACTAAAAAGAACAGGAACAGAAAAAAGAACTAAAAAGAAATTGCCTTTGTGTTGTGCAAATGGGCAGTGCATGGGAAAAGATAGGAAACTATGGTTCTGTTACCAGGCCAACGAAAAATTGGATGCAGTCCTATTCTAATCTTCAAAACTCACACTCATATTGTATGCAATTTTGTTATTTTTATTTAAGATTCTATAGGCTCTATGATGAAAAAATAATATTTTATTATGACCGTGGTGGACTTTTAAACTTACAGTTTAGTAGGTAGATAGCTTGGTGAATCATCTTTACTGAGAATAAGTTCGTTGCATTTGTCAATTGTTTGGTGAACAGAAAAAACATCTCCTGTGCTATATAATACAGCAAGGTTCTTGGCAATGAGTTGTCTAGCAGGAGGTCCTGGTGTACTGGTTAATAAAGATATCAGTTGTTCAACAAGTTTGTTCTGTTTTTCCCTTATATCAGCCTGGAAATATAGAATACATTGTTAACATTCAAACTCTGAACTATCTGAAAAGCTTCAGACCACTTTCAGTTGGGTTCAGACTCATTCAAGTGAAGTCCGGCTCAAATTCAATTTCCATTTCTAGTCACTAGTTAGCTCCCTAAATGATACCCCTTCCTAGGAAGAAAAGGAAGATCACAGGAAACAAATATATGTTCGGTTCTAGTTGTATCATTTTTACCTGATTAGTTGCTGGTAAAAGTTTTTCCAAAAACCTCAGCCATTCCAAAGCAAATTCTGCTTTCTGAAATTCACCCAGCTGATTATAAACTTCTTCATTAAACAGCAAGCTGCAAGCCAACTCCATTCTTTAAAGCATCTCCTTTTCTCTATGTGAAGCCACTCATGAAGGCACATAGGAATGTTGCTGTGTGATGTCAGCATTTACTGGCTGAATGAAAAAGGGCACCTGGATAAATATATAATAAATATATTTAAGAATGGAAGTGACATATTTTAATTTCAACATTTAATCTCAGGTGCCTCACTGGCATTTTAGAAGTGTTAATAATTCTTGAAACTTAATTATTAAAATATCTTAAAATCTGGCAACAAGAAGCCATTCTAGCATACAAGAAAGATCACTTGTAGACTGTTGTATGTTTAGATTTTATCCTTCAGTTCTGTCAAAAATTCATGGTGAAGTACTTCCTTGTTTGATTTTTTCCCCATAACCTCTCTATGAGATATGGGACAAAAGACAATAATTTACCCAAAGCCAGCCAACAGACTTCAGACAAAGTCTGAAGATGTACTTGGGTTTCCAACATCTTAACCACCACACATTAGAAAATTGTGATGCTACCAGGCTCATTATTTACACAGCACAGTGTGATATGGGATATAGATCATGTGTTTCACCTATGATAAGTTATTCTCACACTGATAATAGTATTTTGATCCTTTCAACAGAAGAGACAACACCCCCCCCCCATCCTCTGAATCAAAACATATGAGAAGGCAGAACAGGTTTTGCCATATTAGAATGTATAAATCTAGGTTTCTTAGTTGATACTCATTGGAATTATTCTGCTGCAACCATAATGCCCCTTTTAATAAATATTACTATTTATTAAAAGGGGCATTTGTGACCTATGTGACCTATTTGTGACCTATGGTCACAAGCCACAGTCATCCCCATCTTCAAAAAGGGAGACCCAAGCCTAGTTGAAAATTACAGGCCAATCTCCTTATGCTGCGTCACCTGTAAAGTCATGGAATCAATTATTAACCAATCCATCATCCTCCACTTAGAGACAAATAACCTACTCTCCAATAAACAATTTGGTTTCAGAAAAAAATTATCCTGTAATCTACAACTCTTACACTGCAAAAACATATGGACGACACAACTCGACCAGGGCAAAGCAATAGACGCAATCTACATAGACTTCTGTAAAGCCTTTGATTCAGTGGTACACGACAAACTACTCCTAAAAATAAAATCCTATGGTATCTCTGGACAACTAAATAACTGGATAGAAGCATTCCTGTCAAACAGACAACAAATGGTCAAAATCGGGAGCGTCCTATCAAATCCAGTACCTGTCAATAGTGGTGTCCCCCAAGGCAGTGTTCTAGGACCAACTCTCTTCATACTCTACATAAACGACCTCTGTGATCATATCAAGAGCAATTGCGTTCTTTTCGCTGATGATGTAAAGCTGTTCAATACCACAGACAATACTGCTACCCTACAAAAAGATCTTGACTATGTATCAGAATGGTCAAACAAATGGCAACTTCAAATCTCAACAAATAAATGCTCTGTCTTACATATTGGCAAAAAAAATCAGAAAATAAAATACAAGCTGAATAGTCAAGAACTTGTTGATGACCCAAGCTCTGTAAAGGACCTTGGAATACTCACCTCTAATGATCTAAGTGCTAGAGCCCACTGCAACTACATAGCCAAAAAGGCATTAAGAGTTGTTAACCTAATCCTATGTAGCTTTTTCTCTGGTAATATCACACTACTAACCAGAGCATACAAAACATTTGCTAGACCAATACTCGAATACAGTTCATCAGTCTGGAACCCACATTACGTATCTGATATTAGCACAATTGAGAAAGTCCAGAAATATTTCACAAGAAGAGTTCTCCACTCCTCTACTCGTTGTAGAATACCTTATGCCACCAGACTTGAAATTCTAGAACTAGAAAACCTTGAATTACGCCGTCTTCGGTCTGACTTAAGCATGGTATATAAAATCATACATTGCAATGTCCTACCTGTCAGTGAATACTTCAGCTTCAACCATAACAACACAAGAGCACACAATAGATACAAACTCAAAGTAAACCGCACCAAACTTGATTGCAGGAAATACGACTTCAGCAATAGAGTGGTCAATGTCTGGAATACTCTACCCGACTCTGTAGTTTCTTCCCCAAACCCCAAAAACTTTAACCTTAGACTGTCTACTATTGACCTCACCCCTTTCCTAAGAGGTCTGTAGGGGGCGTGCATAAGCGCACCAACGTGCCTACCGTCCCTGTCCTATTGTTTCTCTTATTCTTTTATTTTTCTTATACGTACCCATTTCATGTATTCACAACTATGTATACACTTATACTTATTATCTTGTAAACAATTGGCAAATCAAATAAATAAATAAATAAATAAATAAATAAAATATTACAGGACCTTGAAAGTTTTGTTCTATAGAACAACCATTTCCGGTTCAGATTGCTAGGAGGTAAATCAGATCCCACCTCACCCTAGAAGTTTTCGTTCAGGAATTCTCAAATTGTAAGTCAAGATAATTGAGCCACAACCACAATTGAGCCCAAAATTTCCATTGCTAAGCAAAGCAGTTGTGCTGTGTTTTGCTCTATTTCATGACCTTTTTGCTAATCACTGCAGTTGATAAGAGAATAACAATGCAGAACAATGCAATTGTCATAAATACATGCCCAAATTTTGCTAAATGCCCAAATTTTGGTCATGTAACCATGGAGATGCTGCAATGGTTGTTAAGTGTGAAAACCGGTCACCAATACAATATTTTAAAGTCTGAGAACCCTTGGAACATATAGATTAAAACAGGGGTC